CCCCAAAAAATCTGTATTTACTCCTTGAATTCTGTGAAACAATGGTGACTCTGTCAAGAAGCCACATGTAAAGGAGACTACCTGGTGAGGTAGTGTGGACACAAGGCTGGCTGGGATCCTACAAAACAAGCAACTAAAGCAACACCTCACCTGTCGAGCAGATGTTGCCTGAAACAAGTGGGATGAAGAACCACTTCCCAACTGTGTAACAATCAGATGCTGACCTCACTGAGACCCCCGTGCTTCCCACGTACCATGAAATTCTGCTGAAGAGGGGACCAGGAGTACATAATGGGCACCAGTGCCACTGTGTTCAGGGTCCTCATGTACAGTGTCTGGCTTGAAAATCCTGGGAAAATGCTCTCAACAGTGCACTGGAATACAAGGTTCATCACCTGTCGAGCAGATGTTGCCTGAAACAAGTGGGATGAAGAACCACTTCCCAACTGTGTAACAATCAGATGCTGACCTCACTGAGACCCCCGTGCTTCCCACGTACCATGAAATTCTGCTGAAGAGGGGACCAGGAGTACATAATGGGCACCAGTGCCACTGTGTTCAGGGTCCTCATGTACAGTGTCTGGCTTGAAAATCCTGGGAAAATGCTCTCAACAGTGCACTGGAATACAAGCACAGAGAAGGTCAGTGAGGAACCACTCTGGGAGGCTGCCACAGCCTGAGGAAAACTGAATTCAGGACAAACACAGAAGCCCCACATCCACTCAGTGGACTCCATCACAGGAAAAAGCCTTGGGGGTACTTTTTGTCCATTTCTGCATTCCAGAAGTGTGAGGCATGGACAACACAGACAAAACCTCATCCATATCCCCACAGCCCCCTGCAGAGTCCTGGCTCCAGGCCCCACTTGCTGATGCTGCCCCTTTTCCTCTGCACACCTGTTTCAGGAACGGGTGCCCACTGACTGGCTTCATCAGCTGCACTGGCTGCACTCGAAGCTTCTTCCAGTCTTCATTAAGGATTTGAGTCTTTTCATGAACCTTTGCAAAGTTGGCCACAAAGAGAGCCTGAAAGGAGAGAGAGGAGCTCTCAAAATTTAAGAAAACCCATTGAGAACTCCCACAGCACTGAAAGGGTTCAGCAAGGAGATGCTGTAAAAACCAAGTGGAAATAACTGCTGCAGTTACACCAGTACTTGTTGAATGGCCTCGTGTGTGTGACAGCTGCTGCCCACACAGCTCAAGACAGAGCAGAGAAGTGGCATCTCTTCCCATTGATCCAGCTTGCAAGTCAAGCACAGCTTATCAATTCACCTTGCTGACACCCTCTGGCACCACTCAGACACTCTGAGCTGAAATGAAGCCTTTTTGGGGCATCTCAGCCCAGTCCTTGCTGTGGCTGTACCTTTGCTCCCATGTTTGCCTGGAACCTCTTGAGCTGCCGCAGACGCATGTACTCGGACTTGACTTTCCTTTTCCAGTACATGATACACTTGGATGTCGGAGGAGTGGTAATTTCCATTTTTCTGTAACAGTACAGAAAGAATAAACATTAAATAATGGCGAGCTCAACCCCGAAACAAGTGATATTAGAAAAACGTCCCTGTGGATGGGAAAAACACTCTATGCATCACAGACTTAAACCAAGCAAAATACCGCCGTCGCTCTGCAGTGCTCCTGCCTGCGGAACACCCCCCGCCGAAGCGCACGGACAGGCCCGGGACAGCAGCGAGGGGCGGCGCTGACCAGAACCGCCCGTGCAGTCCCCCGAGCCCCCGGGGCAGCACATGAGCCCGGGAATTGCTGGGGTCCCCGCCCTCCCCCGGGACACGCCGCCGGAGAGCCGCGGCTCCACTCCAGCCGCCCTCCCTGGCGCTCCGGCCGGGCCCGAGCGCGTCCCAGCTCCGCCAACAAGAACCGGAGCGAGCCGAGGCCGGCGGCGCCGCCGGGCCGGGGGAGCGGGCCCGAGCCCCGCAACTGCCTGTCCCCAGGGCCCGGCTGGTACCACGGGAACCCGCAACCCCCCGGGAAGCCCCGGGACCCCCCGGCCCCGCCCGCACTCACTGCTCGGCCATGGCGACAGGGGGAGGCCGCGCGCGGCCCCGCCCCGCACATCCCCAGGCCCCGCCGCGCCCCTCACACGCCAGGCCCGCCCCGCGTCGCCGCCGCCGGTGCCGGTGCGGCCGGGGCTCATGGGCTGCTCCGGCAGAGCGGACCCGTTCCAGCCTGGAGGACACCCCTGTCGGCTGCGGGGAGCGGGTTAAATTCGGCGGCTCGGTGCCGTGCCCGCCCATTCCCGGTGTGCCTGGGCTCTCCCGGCCCCGGCCCCTATTGGGGGTCCTGCGGGAAGCGCTTGGTGGGACAGCGCCGTTCCCGCCCGGTTCCACCGCCCTCCGGGCCCTGGGCCAGCCCTGCCCGGCATGGCCACGCTCCCCGACGAGCCGTTCCGGTGGTCCCGGGTCCCTCTGGCCCCACCGCCGGGCCTCCCAGTGGCGGCGCCGGGCAGGAAGCGGCTGCTGGCGGCTGCTTTCCTGCCCCGGGGGCCCGGCGCTGGGAGCGGACGGAGCTGGCTCTGCCCCGGCGGGGGCCCCGTCCGCGGCGCGGAGTGCCGGCTGCCCCGGGGCGCCCTATCTCCGCGGCTCCGGCAGGGTGACTGCGGGGCTCGAGCAGGGCCGGCCCGCAGCCCCGAGTCCGGTGGGGCGGGCCCTGGCGTCCCCCGACCCTGCCGGGCATTGGCTCGGGAGCGGCGGACAGCGCTGGGACAGGCCGGGGTCCGGGATGGGTGCCCGGGGGAGCCCCAGCCCGGCTGCTGGGATCCCGCTGTCGGGAGGATGAGGATGCTCCCCGGGCTAGGGCTGCTCTGCTGCCCGCTCCTGTCTCTGCTCCCGCGGGTGCTGCACGGAGACAGCCCCAGGCTGGGCACGGGGTCTGGCACACAGCGAGTCCCCACAGAGCCCTGGCCTATTTCTCTCCTCTGTCCCAGTGCAGCTGTACAGCTCGCCTGGCCCCTCCTGGCCTTCTTTTGGAGGATCTCTGAGTAGGGTTTGCCACACACTTGTCTGCCTCCAGGGCTGGTGTTGGCTCAGAAATTTCTCTTCCAGGCTGCAAGGGCCAAGGCAGAGCCAGGAGCCCTCTGCTCCCTTAGCCCCTTCACCTCTGCTGTGCTCAGCTCAGCCTGGGAGGAGGAGGAGGGGTCTCTGATGTACTGAGACCAGCAGCTGGGCGCTGGGGCTGTTCCTGGCTGTGCAGCCCTGGCATCCTCTGTCTCCTTGCTGCAGGCCATGGGAACACTGAGCATGGGGACCTCAAGGATGAAGGTGCCAAATCCCATGTGGCTCCAGCTTCTGCAGCAGTCCTATGGCAGGGGACTCTACTACTGGCAGGGCAATGTCCAGGGCCCCTTGGACCTCACATGGTCACACGGGTCCCACCACCACCATGACACAGTCTGTCCTTCTGGGTGACTACTGAATGAGGATGGTGAGTAGAGCTGCCCTCTTGCCATCCTGGCTGTCCTCCCCATTCACCTGGGTGAGACCTGTGCAATCTGCTGTGCTTGCAGGAGCCTCACAGGCTCACTCCTGGCTTGGCTGATCCCATGGGGCCCCCACAGTCACAGGCAGCCCTGGCAGCCCTAATGTGAGACTCCTAGGGCTGGGTGTTGAACTGCACAACAGAGTGCCTGCCTCATCCTGGGCAGAGTCCAGGGGTGACCCCAAACAGCCCTCCTGAAACCACAGGGTGGAACTTCTTGGGGGGAAGTGCTGGGAGTGGGGTGACACCCCAGGGTCTGTCTGGTGCACTGCTGGACCTCTGGAGGTGCTGGTGGTGCCAGCCCACTGCCAGGACACCTACCAGGGCTGGATCTCCCTCTACTACCGGGCCCCCTTCCATGCCACCCTCATGGCCATTCCTGAGGGAAGTTGCTGCCTCTGGGACGAGATCAGCAGATGGGTCAGCATCACCCCAGCAGTGCCACACACACACTCGGAGCAGGGCATCACCGGGGTGTGTCCCCAGCCCTGCAGGCTGGCCTCATGCTGTCCCCTCTGCAGCACCTACAGCGAGCTCTCCAGTGGCACCCAGCTGCTGGTCAGCTGCTCTCCTGCCCTGGCCTGGGGCATCAACACCTTCTTTCTGCAGGTCCACTCTGAATACTTCACCAGCTGCACAGAGGCCAGGCTCCCCAAGCTGGGCAGTTGGCCCCCAGTGTGGCTGTGGCCAAGGGGCTTGGCTGCCTCGTGCCCCTTGCAGCTGCCCTAACACTCAGCAGAGCCCAGAAAGGGGTTCAAACCCCAGGGAGGAGCTGCCCATCTCCTGCATGCCCCCAGGTCTTTGAGGGGCCAGCGACAGCCTCCTTCCCTCCCAGTCCTGGCAGCTCATGAATGGGAGGAGAGGACTGAGGGTGAGGGTGACAGGTCAGAGCAGGGATAGGGAGCTTGGGATTCCCTGGGCATGGAGTGGGTCCCATGTCACGACGGGAGGCTGGGCACCGGGCTGCAGATGCTACATCTGCCTGGGGGATCTCTGGGAGAAGAGTCACAGGCAACCGAGCCTGCACGGGTCGATCTCCTTCCTCAGCACCCCAGGTTGGGGCTGGCAGGGAACGCCGGGGATGCCAGGCTGGGTGGGGAGCCCAAGCCCTTGGCAGGCAGCCACCGTCCTGTCCCTGCCCATCCCCTCCGGACGCCCCAGGAGGGGGGCGGCAGTCCCAGCCCTGGGGCCGCGCTGAGATCATTGGGTGTCTCCCTGGCAGAGGCTCCTGCCACCCGGCTGGAGGCTCCGCCGGCTCCACCACAAACAGGGACCAGTGGCTCCAGCCCTGCCGCCACTGGAGTGCTGGGGATGACTTCCAGATGTGGCCACTCGCCTGCAGAAGGTGGCTGCTGCAGCCTGGGAAGCATCAGACAGCTCTGCCAGGACCTTTGCTGGGGAGCTGAAGCCCAGTGCGATCCGCAGCAGGGAGGGTCCCTCCGAGCTGCCCTGCGCTGCACTCCGGTCCCTGCTCTGCGTGCCTGCAGGCGGCTAAAGGGGAGGCTTTGGGCTGCGCTCTGCCCCGGCCAGGCGTGAAAGGTCCTGTGCAGGAATGCCACCCCCAGTGGGGGGGACATGGGCCCCTGGGCGGGAACTGCTCCAGGAAGGGGGGCTCCGGCAGAGTCAAGCAGGCGCCAGGCTGGGCAGCGCAGGAGGAAGGCACTGGGGCCAAGGACTGGCAGGGTCGGCCAAGTGTCTGCCCTCTCCCCACCTCCTCGGCCTCGTGCCTGGGGGTAGATTGTGTCACCACCCTTCCCTCCTTGGCCACGGGCAGGAGCTGGGGCTGCCCCGGCAGTGCCGCATATGGGGCAGGTGCCCGGGTGAACCAAAGACTGCGGTTTTGGGGCCGTGGGTCCCCCTGCCGCCCCCATTCCCGGGCGGCAGCACCCGTCCGGGGACATTGTGCTTTCCCGTCCACTCCCCCCGCTGCTGGGCTGCCTGCCCTCCACGCAGGAGACGAGGGATTTCACAACCCAGCCCAGACAGGATTAAAGAGAAATACACAAGTAAACAAATCGCGGCCTCGTAACGCTGGACGTGCTGTTCAGGGAGTGGATCCTCCAGGCCGGTGGGTGAGGCGCGGGCGTCGTGGGTGCGGGAGCGATGCCCGCGGGGGCCGGCACCGCACGGGACAGCGCAGGGTCCCGCCGGGAGAGCCGCTTCAGAGCAGCACTGAGCAATCTCATTTTTCACACGTCTCCTGTAGTCAAACTGCCCCTGTCAGAGGAAAGGAGTTGCTTCCTGTTATTTCCATTGAAATCCTTGTCCCGGTCGTTAGCCGGCAGGCTTTGGCAGGATGGCACCGTGCGCGCACATGAGCTCCGGCCGTCTCTCCCGAGGGCTCCTGCTGCTCTGCGGTAAGTGCGCGGGGCGCGGCCCCGGGGGCTCCGCACCCCGAACCACCCCGCACGTGGCCGCCCTCCCACTCGTGGGGCCTGGGGCCACGGTCTTGGCTCAGCCCGCCCCCATCGCCCCACCCCAAAATGGGACCGGCCTGTCAACGCTGAGGTTAGCTGGGGCAGACATGGCCGGGGGGCATGGCAGGTGAGCACCAGGTGCTGTGGGGAGCTCCCACCACGCTCAGCCACCATCTGGCAGGGAGCCCTGCAAAGACCCGGGCTGGAAGAGGAGCTGTAGCACCACACATGCCCAGGCAGGGGGGCTGCATGGGGCCATCAGGGACAGAGATCGGGACAGGGTGGGCTGCCCTTAGCACAGCCAGTGTGCCTACCCAGGCCCACACAGCCCCGTGTGCCCAGCTGTGCCAGAGCTCCCCACAAGCAGCCCAAGGAGAGCCCAGTCCGGCAGTTCAGTGTGGAGCCAGCATCAGTGCCCCACAGCCGAGGGTGGAAGATGGATCGGGCAGTCTCCTGGAGCCATGGGGCTCCCGTGGGCCAGGCGAGACGTGCCCCACGCCCTTGGCAGGCTGTGCTGGGTGTGGAACTGATGGCAGGCGGAGGGGCTCTCCAGCAGCTCTGTGCTGTGGCCAGTGCTTCCTCTTCCTGCCCCAGCCCTGTCCGGCTGACACGCAGCACCACGCTGGCTCCCCATGGGTGGGGGTTCCATTTGCCCCCATGCTGTGATAATTCCCCAGGGTTCGTAGCCCCTAAACAGCCCCTCCAAACCTTTGGATAGCTGCCTGCAGCCTGGCTAGCCCCTCCCCACAGCCCCTGCCCATGCCAGGGCTGGATGCCCTAGCCCCAGCATGTGCCAGGCTCTGGCTCCCTGTGCCCCACCTGCCGGCTCCAGTGTCCCTGAGAGACACCCAAAATCAATTATTTCCTGTAAACCCAGCCTCTGCCAGGGCAGCCCCTGTGCATGGAGCCCTGTCAGCACCCTTACCCTCCCCCCAGACCCTGTGTCCCCTCTCACCCTGTGTCCCTCCCTCTGCAGTGCTCCTGGGGACTGGTCTTTGTCACACAGACGCCGTGACAACAAGCTTCAGCCAGGACACTGGGACAAGCCCACCCACGGCCACATCCAACTGGACAACCCAGTCCATGGGTGAGTGTTGGGGCTCAGTGAGGGCCAGGCAGCACTGCAGGACAAATGGTGCCCTGGCCAGGGCTGGCCCTGTGCCACAGAATGACCCCTTCTTTCCCCAGGCCATCCCAAAACCAGCTGGCCTGTGCCATGAAGCTGTTGCTGCCACTGCCCACAGTGGGGGCAGTCAGCAGCAGCCTGCCCTCCCTCTGTGCCCCTGGCATTGCCCTGGACTGCTGCAGGCTCCAGGCAGCATCCCAGGGCTGCTGTAGGGTCCATCCCTCACTGTGCTGGTGTCTCTGCCACCAGCCTGGGCAGGGCTCCAGATGCCAGGTGTCACCTGGCAGCAGGGGCAGGCAGGGATGATGCACTGTGGGCAGAGGCATGCTGCCCGAGCTCAGCACCTTTCCTCACAGAGGGGAATTACACCGCCATCACACAGCACTGCTGGGATTACTTCGTCTACCTGATGAGGAATGTGATGACATCGGAGCTGTGCGAGTGGAAAGTCATCAGCAGGTACGGGCCAGCAGGACCTTCCCCTCCAGCAGCAGGGGCAGGGGCTGGGCACTCACCAGGGTCCTGCTGGTGCGGGGTGCGTGCCCCCGGTGTCCCAACCCCTGCCGGTGTCCCGGCTCTCCTCCAGGCCCTACAGCGAGCTGCAGCGCTGCCTGGAGGAGTGGGCAGAGCGCCTCAACCACAGCTACCCCAACGCCCTGGCGGAGCAGTACATCTTCCAGAGCCACCACCGCTACTTCCACAACTGCACCCTGGAGCACCCGGTGTACTTCGACCCGCCCGAAGATGTGCTCCTGGCCATGATCATCGCACCCATCTGCCTCATCCCCTTCCTCGTCACCCTGGTCATCTGGCGCAGCAAGGACGGCAAGGCGCAGGCTTAGAGCCGCCCTCCCTGCCCGCGTCGGGGCACCGAGCCCCGGCTGCGGGGCCGCCCGACCGCCCGGTGGGCTCTCGGGGCCCCCACCCCGCGCAGCGGAGGCGGCCGGTTCCTCCCGCGCCTTCCCCACCCCGCGGCCCGGGATTAAACGCTTCTCCCCCCACGCCTGGCGCTGGTTCTTCGGCCGCTCGATCCCTCCACGGCCCGGGCCGGGCCAGCTCCCACCGCCAGCGCCCTCCTGGCGCGGGTCTGCCGGCAGCTTCTTGCGGTGGGGAACGCTCCGGCACCAGAACCGGCACCAGAACCGGGGCCGCCGTCCGGGAGGGGCGGGGCTACAAGGGGGGGCGTGGTCCCACAAAGAAAGGGCGGGTCATAATGGGGGCGTGGCCCAGCGGGGTGGGCGTGGCCCGCTGTCGGGCCGGAAGTGGGGCGGGGCGGGGCGGAAAGCGGCGGCGGCGGCGGTTCCGGTAACGGCGGCGGCGATGAGCTTCGTGTGGCCCTGGCAGTACAGCTTCCCTCCCTTCTTCACGTGAGCACGGCCGGGGCTGGGCTGGGACTGGGGGAACGGGGAGAGGAGGGGAGCGCGGGAACCGGGGGTGCCGGTGCCCGTCCGCCCCCGTGCTGACCGGGCCCCGCAGGCTGCAGCCCAACGGCGAGACGCGGCAGAAGCAGCTGTCGGCCTGGTGCGCGCTGGCGCTGGCCTACAGCCAGGAGCACCGGCTGCCCGCCATGACGGTGCGGGAGGCTCAGGACATCCCGCTCTTCGCCAACCACCGCCTCCAGCGTATCCTTTGTGCCGGTGCCCGTGCCCGGTGCCCGGTGCCCGTGCCCCCCTCGCCCCTAACCCCGCCTCCGCCGACGCCTCCTTAACCCGCGCCCAGGGAAGCTGCCGCTGGAATCCATCCAGGTGGTGCTGGAGGAGCTCCGCAAGAACGGTGCGTGCCTCGTCCGTCCGTCTGTCCGTCCGTCCGTCCGTGCTCCGGCCGCCGCCGGTGCCCGACCCGCAGGGAGCACCGGCTCAGGCACCGGGCAGCTCCGTCCCGCGGGTCTGGGCCGGACTCCGAGCCGGGCCTGCCTTGGCAGGCGGGTTTAGCTGTGCGGGGAAGGGAGGGCTCGGCAGAGAAATCGCTTCCTGCAGACACGGCAACATTCAGTGTGCAGGGCTGGGCTGGGCTGGGGGCTGCTCGGGCACACGTGCACTGTGCACTGTCTGGCACACGTCCTGAAACCTGCGTGTGTGATCCTTATTTCTGACTGCCCTGCTTCAATCCCTGTTCCTTACTGCTTCTAGGGAACCTGGAATGGTTAGATAAGAACAAAACCAGCTTTCTGATCATGTGGAAGAGACCGGAAGAATGGGGAAAGCTCATCTATCAATGGGTGAGAGCACGGGGGCTGCACACCCAGACCAGGCTGGGTCCATGAGGATGGGGCTGCTATTTAGGAAAGACCACTACTTGCTTCCTCACTGCCTTTACCTTTCTCCTTGCACTTCTCTCTGTTGCAGAGAGGTGAGCAGTTATTAGCAGCCTGTCAGCTGTGAGGGTGGTGTTGTCCCCCCGAGTGAGGGCAGGGCAGCACCACTGCCTGGCCCAGCTCCTCACTGTGAAACACACAGGCAGGAGGAGCAGCCCTGTCCTCCTTCCCCCAGGCTGCACCTCCTGACCCCTCTGCCCCAGGGTTCACATCAAGTGCTGTGCACACTCAGTTTTACACTCTCCAGGACGTGTGAGAGAGATTTGGATAACGATGTGCAGCCACATGGATGAAATTTGCTGTATTGCCTTTGTGTTTCCAGGTGTCCAAGAATGGCCTGACCAACTCTGTGTTCACGCTGTATGAACTGGTCAGTGGAGATGACACAGAGAATGAAGGTAAAGTTGGGGCTCGTGTTCTGGAGCAGGTTTTCAGAGCACGCTGAATTGGAGCATGTCAATAGCTGATTGTCAGATTGCAGTCTTGTAGATTAAATATTTTTAAATGTCAGGTGTGAACTCACCCTTTCCCACCATTGGCACAGGCTGCTGCAAAGGCTTTTATCACTTTGCAGGAGCATCCCCCTCTGTAATTGCATTTTCCCTTCCCAGTGCCTAACATTTTATCTGGTGCAGTGGGGAATGTTTTATTTTCAAGCCAAGCCCCAGCTCTGCCTTGCAGGCTGCTGTGACTCATCCCTGCTGTCTGCTGACCTCGAGGCCCTGTTCCCCAAGCAGAGATGAGATCCTCTCAGTGTTTCCATCACTCTGGATTTGCTGTAGTGCTGTGGTGCTCTGAGAGCCCTCAGCATCGCTGCCCCCAGCCCCTGCACCTCACAAACCTCTTTGTTTCCTGATGTTATTTTTTTCTTCCTGTTGATCTTTGTCCCTCCCTAGAGTTTCATGGCTTGGACGAGGCCACGCTGCTCCGTGCCCTGCAGGCCTTGCAGCAGGAGCACAAGGCTGAGATTATCACGCTGGATGACGGCCGAGGCGTCAAGTTCTTCTGACTGGAGCCTCCTCCCCTTCCCTGCTGCAGGCTGGGCTCTCCCTGCCAAGCGTTCCTCTCTGGGCCTGGCCTCAGACTGTGACTGCAAGTAGCTGCATCTTGGGATTTCTTGGGGCAAGATGAGTCTGAGAACCCTTCCAAAGACTTAGGAATATCCTGAGCTCCTCTGTCTGTCTGTTCTCCCTGTTGATGTGTTCAGGAGGCTGAAGCTGCTCTAGGCAGTTCTGAGAGGGACCATCCAGAAGTGAAACTGGACTGCTGCTGGTCCCTGTGCCTGTGATGGCCTCGAAGCAGCCCCAGCTGGCTGGTCAAGCTTGGCTCAGAGGGTCCCCCTGTGTCCCTGCCAGGCACGTGCCTGGGTCCTGCAGTCCTGCTGCAGTGCCAGGGGCTGAGGCAGGAGCAGGGGCTGGCTGTGGAGCCCTCAGTGGCAGAAGGAAATGCACTTGCTGCCAGGCAGGCTGGGGGAAGCCAGGCAACTAATTTCAGGTGATTAAAATGAGATGTATTTATAGAGCAGCCTGGCTGTTTTCATCTATCTTTATTTTTCCATCAGAGACAAAACAGAGCAGTGTACCAGATTTTTGCCCTTCAGTCTTATTTCCTGTCTGCCCCAGGGAAATGCAGTGGTTCCAGGGTGGGAAACAGCACAAGAAGAAAGGTGAAGGGGATCCTTGCTGCCCTTCTCAGGACAGCATTTACTTTAAATTTGCATGTGCAGCCTGCTGGAAGCCCCTGGGTTTGTGCAGAGGTGATGGGGTAAGCTCTGTGGCTGGGAGAGGGATGACTCAGCTTTAGGTGATAACAAAGTCCCCGACTTGTCAGAAATTGTGGCCCAGGTGCAGTTGCTGACCCTGTGAGCCCTGGGGAAGCAGATGGCTGTGCTGGGGCAGGGCCACCTTTCCCTGGTGGGTGTGTGCATGTCACTGGCAGAGGTTGGGGACAGTGCAGGTGTGACCTCAGGTCAGTCTGGGGCCCAGCAGAGCAGATGGCACTTGCACCTCACAGGCTGCCCCTGTCTGGCCTTCCCTGCCCTTGGGGACAACCTGGCACTGGCTCACCTGCTCCTGACAGCTGATGTCAGCATTGAGGAGTTCTCAGTGTAGGTGAGATGCTGGAGTCTGGGGGCTGTGAAATGTGAAAATTTGTCCTGTACAGGAGCCCACTGACCTGGACTTGCTGGGGTGTGCTGCCCTGGTGTGGGCACACTGCTCTGGAACTGTGGCTGGAGCCCAGGCTTCCTCTCTGTGCCAGGCTCAGCAGTGCTGTGGAGGAATTCCTGAGTGCCAGCACTTCTGTGCTGAACAAAGGCACCAGCAATGCTCCAGAGTCACTGACACTGGGCTGGGGTGGGTCCTTTCTGAGGACCATCACCCCTAGGAGCTCTGTCATGGTCCTGCACTGATGGTGCTGAGCAAACCCAGCAGCACAGGCTGTGCCATGGCATGTGCCATGAGCCCTGCAGTGCAGCTGTCCCCACAGCTGGACAGCCTCTGCTTGCTCAGGGATCATCCCTCTATGTCTGCAGCCACCAAAGTCTCTGTGCAGGATTCTTGTGCTCCCAGTCTGCCCTGGGTTTGTTTCCATGTCCAAGATCTGCCTCCCCTTTCCTTCTCATGCCACCTGCATTGCCCTTCCCTCTGTGGTTGCTCTGTCTGCCCTGCTGCTCTTGTAGCCCTGCAGAGAGCAGGGTGCTGTGCCTGAAGGTGTCTGCATTTGACCCCAAACAATTTGATCCCTTCAGCAGCCAGGCTGGAGTGTCTGTTCTCTGCCTGTGTGCACAATCCCGACCTCCCAGCACTGTGTTCCAGGCTGGGAGTGCTGTGTGTAACCTGGCTGTCCTTGAGGGAGTCTGTGTTCTTAATTAAATTTGCTCCCTTCTTAGGAAATGGCTGATGTGACATTAGATAAGCCTAAAACCAGCTTTTCATTCCAAGCCACTCCTGGCAGCAATTCCCATCTCTTTTTCAGCTTCCTATTTAGTTGCTTACTCAGTGACGGGGGGGAAGAGGAGGAGGAAGAGTATGTCCCCTCTGCAGAGTGGACATTGTGTAAAATTCCTTTTCCACACCCTCTGGGCTGGTTACCAGAGGCCACATCCAGCAGTGCCTGTGAGGAGCCTGTGGGACCTGCTTCCCTGGGCTGGGCAGTGCTGCTGGGCTGAGGTGCCACTGCTGGGGCTGAGGTGCCACTGCTGAGGCCGTGGGATGTGTCCTGGGAGTGGCAGAGCTGGTGCAGCCACCCTGGAGGGAGCAGATGTCCCTCTGTGGAGGTGCTGTCCGGCCCAGCCACACAGCCCTGGGGAGGGGCTCGCTGCAGGAGGTGGCTCAGGGTGGTTTTGGGGGGGTGGGGGTGGCTGGTACAACCCCCTCCTCCAGCCTGTGGCCCCTCAGAGGCCCTGGCCACATCTGGCCGTGGTGATTAGGGCTCGCTGGCCAGGGTGAGGCAGAGCTCAGAGGGGCTGGTGCCAAGATAAGGCACTATCAGGCTGGGCACACTCGGATCCCACTGGTGAGGGAGGAAAGATTCCGAGAAAGATTTTCTTTAATGCAGCTTCTTAGGAGCAAGAACTGTTTCAGTTTGATAACTTTTTATGTTGGGATAAACGTGCAGGCGGGTCCCATCTGTGCCTCTGGGCTGAGCAAATCCTGTGCAGTGATCTGCCCAGGGCTACAGCCACAG